GCCAAAACCGTTTTTTTTTTTTTTTTTTTTTTCTCATACAAGACTGAAATGTTTATTTCTGCTGTAAATTTGGGCATTTAACATGGGAGTCTATGGGGGCTTGACTCCCTTTTGGAGCCCGCCTCTAGTGGCCATTTGAGGAACTGCACGTTTTGGCATTTAAGCAATGGCTTCATTTGTCGGCCTCGGATGTTTCCGCTCAGTGACCCCAGATAATTTCTGCTGGCAATTACAAGAGACTGTAAAGACAGATGGGAGTTAGAGTTTCAGCATAAATGTCTATTCATCCATCCATTATCTATACAGCTTATTCCAGAAGAGGGTCGTGGGCAGCTGGAGTCTACCCCAGCTGACATTGGGCAGGAGTCGGGGTACGCTGTGGACAGGTCAAGTCTATCACAGGGCCAGAAATGTCCAATGAAGGGATATTGCACAAAAAGTCTGCTGCTAGAATACCGACAAACACCTAGAAGAGACAGCACATTGTTCTGGTCCTTAGATCTTAAATACGGAATTCAATTTAAGACCTTACTTATTGTCTGTAAGTCTCTCAAAGTTCCGGGCCAAAATATATCAGAGATGTAACCGACTGACTTCACTGTGCTGTTTAGCTGATTGTGTAGACACTGGTGTTTCTGATTTTACAAAAAGTATGTCCGTCTCCAGTGTAAATTGCTCAGAGGGTTTTAACGGAAAGACTGAAGTAAAGGGGTATAATGTATAATGAGATCAGTGACAATCCACAGTATCTACATGTGCATGTTGCTACTTTGTGCTGTCATGTAATTGTTGCTTTTAATGTTGTTTATTTTGTATTCAGTTTTATCCATCCATGTACATTTTGTGTGTGCATTGTGTTAAATGAGCTCTATAAATATACCTCCTATATCACTGTTTTAAATTATATCAGTTTGACTTTAAGTGAGAATTTCTATTCCCAGGTGACTTGTAAGCCACATAGCAGGGGTGAATTTGTGTCAAAGTTTTGGATTGGAATTGATAAGTTGCTTAAAGGTAAACCCTTAAAGGTAATTTGTGGTTACTTGGAGCTACAGTGCACCGGCAGTCTTCAACAGTTTAATGCTTTCCTTTTTATTGCCATTTTATTTGAATGAAAACGAGTGCATTTTCCTTTTTTGACATTATAGGAGAAAGTATCGCTGGGTCCGGAGTTAAGTCTGGACTGGGAAGAAGAGATGGCCACTGCTCGGCCACATGACTGTGTTTCTGTTCCTTCCAACCATCCTCTGTATGTACTCTATACATCGGGGACAACAGGAACACCAAAGGTACTGGCCTTACAGAGTTGGGATTAGTAGCACAGGAAAATGGAACTCAATACTGCACTTAATAGATGTTACGAACACAGACATTCTACCAGACAAGTTATAAGAGTTACTGTTGGCCCTGTGTGTCTAGAGGCTGTCAGGTGCATATGAAACTTTCATGTGAGTCATCTACTCTGACTCTGCAGAAGAAAAAATCCAGACCCAATCTAAGCACCATCACAGTGACATAAATAAGACGAAGCATTTCCACAGTAGATGCTGGAGCTCATTCAGGAGGAATTGCCTGCGAGCGGTTTCAAATGGAAAAACCTTGGCTCTTTTCAAATAGCATCATTATGTCTTTGACCAACAGATGATATAATATATCCACCTGCTGGCCAGCTCCTGGGTTTGAGTGCTGTTATTGCCGGCTTTTTTCCCTCAGTGAGCGTCTGTGAATTTGTTATCGCTGTAAGGACACCATAACTTTGAAGGGGGGAAAAAAAAAGACCTAATTGTGGACACAAGGGTTTGAGGACACGCTGTGATGTGCAGACATATTTATAGCACCATTAACTAACAAAAAGAATACATTGAAAACCAAACACCATCCCCTTCGGTACAGCAGCTCTGAGCAGCTGGCTTTATATTGATGTTAAACTCGTGTTTGTTTTTGACTAGTGCAACACCTGTATCACTAGTGTGATTTTGGCTTTTATTATTGTATTTTTTCTTCTCTTGTCCCCCAGGGTGTTGTGCGGGACACCGCAGGCTATGCTGTGATGCTGAAATGGACCATGTCAAATATTTATGGACTCAGTCCTGGAGATGTAAGGCAACAAAGCATTGTCTTCTGAGTTGGTCCTGTGCTTGAGAACACAGATAAACAAAAGACACTACTTGAAAAGATTTGCTCACAATAACTGAAGTCTTAAGTTTTGAAAGTAGCATGTGTTGAGTTTTTTCATTCATCTGTCATTTATGCTATTTTATTTGTATTTGTGGGGCTTTCAGGTACCACTGGTGTTTTATGTTTAGCATTTGAAGCTGCAGAAGGAATTTAAGGGCACATGTAATGCAGTATATTCACTTGATAAGTAGTAAAATAAAACAGAAGTTTGTACAAGGTTGACTTCCATGTTTTGACCTTTCTTAACCATTTGCAGGTTTGGTGGGCAGCGTCAGACCTGGGCTGGGTGGTTGGCCATTCTTATATCTGCTATGGTCCTCTGCTCCATGGAAACAGCACAGTTCTCTATGAGGTATGTTCCTGTAGGCCAGAGTGGATTAAGAAGGAGATTGACAATATCTCCAGTCAAACATTAGCAGCAGTGTCATAGAGTTACGTTGACGTGGCTGCTATCTTCTAAAGTAAGAAGTTGAAATCCATAGTAATGATTATAAAACACGTTTTACAACCTTTTGACTGTCTCTCTCAAATACTGTCACTTTAATAGATTAGGTACCTAGCTAACTAGTTAAATTAGATGAGCTATCTACAACAACATGGCTCAGAATTAGTTAAAAGTAGTGATTTGCTGATAAATCCCACTGTTCCTACAGAATACAATGGATCTGAATTGGCTCTTTGGAACTACACTGCCTGGCCTCTTTATCAGAGATGTCTCTATTTTTGTCCTCCTCAGCTACATTCATGAGAGGGTCAGAATATAAGGAGCATGTCTAAATATATACATTTATGAACGCTGAAACATTTTGATCTTCACAAACACAGATGTTAAGGCGGAAATCTTGCATTGAATTGCATACAATTGTACCTAATAAAGTGGCTGGTGAGTGTATCTGAAGCTACATGGGTCATGTGACCCGCTGCTGTTTTTGACCCCTCAGTGTTGCAACTCTTCTATCTTAAGGGTTCTGCTGTAGACAAGGTTTAATATCTAAATGCAGGTAGCTGAAATTAAAACCTGACTTGTACCAGTGATACAGTTTGGGTTTCAGTGTCGGTTACTGTATCTGCCTTGGTGGGCTCTGCTACCAGAGTTCATTCGTATTTAGGTAATGACTCCAGTTTACTGTATGTGGACTGGGACTTGGTTCCAAATGTAGTGAACTCTGTGACCCTGTTGCCATGTGGGACCGGTCTACAGTCCACTACCATGAGATACACTGCAGCTCTTTCTGTTCCAGTCCGTCATATACTAATTCCAGTCAATGTCCTCCATGCACTTGTAGTTTGTGCCTTTCTGCACTGGGGCTATAAGGAAATGAAAGCTTTCAGAATACATGTGGCAACTATTTTGAATTCTGTCTTTTGTAATGGAGCTGAAAAAGTGTTCAAATGTACCAAACAGTCTTTTTAACAGGCCCTCTGCTGAGTCAACAGTGTCATGCAGCGCACCTCTTGGGAAGACGAATGAAGAAGAAAAATTACTTTAATGAAGCATTTTCTGCATGAATGCATATTTTGAACAGCCACTTCATATTGATGCATCACATTATTATAGATAATTTGGCTCCACCACCCATTAGCTAGTGGATAACAGGCTTTATACAGGCTACTTCATTTGCATGTAACAAAATCTGCAGATCATGGCTGAGAGGGTTGGTTTTCTTGTGTTGATTCTCATTACATTAGCACTGATTTTTCTCTCACCCATTAGAAGCAGGGCTGCCAGGCGATGAATTAATCTGCTTTCCTCAAATCAATGTTGGATTTAACACCATGCTGTTTGTCACACGTGGCTTTTGTTTAAGCAGACTGTCCATCTTCAGGCACGATGCTGCCAACCTTTTGTTTTGCCTCTGATCAATACACACGCAAATATTTATGCAGAGCAAAAATGACAACCAGAACTCGCTGCTGCTGTTTGCTGTTCTCATTCGACTGCACTTGTCTTCTCATTGGAGGGGTGTGTTTAAACACAGTGGAAGCTGCTGTTGAAGGCATTTGCTCGCAGATTTATTTTAACAAAGAACACTCATGCAGTGCAACTGTGTTTTCTAATCCATGATTTTTGGGTCCATCTGTGTGGAAGGAAGCCTTGCAGAATAACCCCCCCCCCCTCCTCCAAACACACTTTAAACAGCTGCTTTATGAATATGCATGACTTGAAGTGAATTTGTACTGTGGAGCATTATAGGAATCTTGCTGGAATGTGCTTGCATAATAATCTGTAAATCTGCTGTTCGCTCTGTAGCAATGCTGTCATATGATTCATCTGCCTGCGTGCATAGTCTGAACTGACCAGTTGTTGTCTGTTTACAGGGCAAGCCTGTAGGGACTCCAGACCCTGGAGCGTTTTTCCGTGTGCTGTCTGAACACGGAGCCTCCTCCATGTTCACAGCGCCCACTGCCATTAGAGCCATTCGCCAGCAGGACCCCCATGCTGAAATCGGACAGAAATACACCCTGTCCAGGTAGACGGCAAGAAACAAATTGTTCACACGGCTTTTATACTGTGCCAGGGAGTTTTCTAATGGTATGTTTTGTTAAATAAATAATTTTAGCTTTTACACTTAGTAAAATGTTCCACTTCTCTATTGGCAAATAGTAAATTAAAGATCTTTAGATGTCCCGATGGGCCAAACGATTTGCTAAAGCATCTCAGCGTGGTAAGTTTGTCTAGCCTGTCGTTGGGCTCCGGCCATCTGTTGACACACAGCTCTTTCCCACCTCCATTTCTCATAGTCTGTACCCTCAGCCTGACCCACTTGGGTGAATTGTTAACAAACAGCAGCAGGTCACCGCAGCCCACCTGTATTAAATCATATCTTGTGAACTTAATTCCCCGGCTGCTGTCTGACAGGTCAGGTAAGAGTCGCCTGAAGCTCAGAGTTGGAAACTCTTTTTGTCTTAGTAAAACTTATTGAGATGATCACAATCGTTAATTGTTTTGACGCAGTGCAGACAAACGTATACCTTAGGAGTTGTGGTGTCAATTCACCACTTCCACTCTGCTCAGCAGTCTGAAAATGCCTGTAAGCACAAAATCATAAAGCAATTCTGAGTGCGGATGACCTATGGCCCTAGTGAATCATTCAGTAATGCTGGCATTGTGCACTGAATTTGATGATCGTCGGGTGTTCGCTGTGCTGAATACATAGCATCCTTTTGAATGCTTTCCCTATATAAGGATTTACTACAGCAATATTTGCTTCCCATATTGGTGATGTGTGTCCTCTGAGTTTTGACCCTGAAACAGTCGTTTAATCAGCATCCTGTTTCTGTGTACACTTTGTTGTTCTTAATGTTTCCTTTCCCTTTGGAGGAGGCAGGTTGATGGAGGTTTACTGCAGTTCCCTTAGGCGCTGAGCAAAACACGTCACTTTGACACAGACGCCGCAATGAGACAGTTTCATATCAGCACAGGGCGGTTCAATGTCTGGTCGAGTCTTTCACTTGTGGGCTTGTGTTCTTTCAATTTTACGCAAATCAAAAAGGGATTTTATGGCTTATTAGTTTTAATTTCTGTACTGAAATGTTTGATTTGCTACATCAGTGAAGGGAAAGCACGAGGTATCAAGATAATCTGGTCTTACTTGAACTCGGTTTGTTGGTCATGGTAACTCATCCCTGTATTAACTAGGTACACAATTCAGCAGGCCAGACTGGCGTCCTTAGGCTCTGTGGAATAGAAGAAGATTAAAAAAAGAATCATCCAAGCATAGTGTTTGTCACAATGTCGTATAGATAAATGGACCCAAATTTGTGTGAGCATTTTGCCACTTCTGCAACACATGAAGTTATTTGTCAGTACTAATGGTGCTGCTTTTAATTAGGTGTGTTGATGGAAGTAGAAGAACCTGTTAGAAAACTCTCTTAGCTTTATTATCAAACATATCATTTCATGCTAGAGAGACTTTAAATGTTCATTTGATACAGCTCAAATAGGCTGTCTAGGTTTTATTGACTCTGTGAGATGTTTACTACCTCTAGAGCTTGTTTACCTGTAATATCCCTGGACCTTAGTGATGTGATTGAGCTTTAAGTCGTAATGGTGTGTATGAAAGCTACTTTGAGAGGGTGGCTGCAGGGCGGTCTGAAGTTGTGAGTGCTCTGCATAACTGTGGCATGACAAAAGGGCAGCAGTGCTTTAAAAACGGGAGCACTAGCTCGATGCTGAGCGTGCCACTCGTAAACAAGTGGCAAAGTGCACGACTCCAGATGAGACGGTAGTGCTTCTTGGTGTGCTGTCAAGGCTGATGCTGCTGATAAAGGTGGTGATGTTTGTGCCTTTTTCTGGCTTTAAATTAAAACAACTCAAGAATCAGCAAAGGTGTTTTCTAGTTATCGCATCACTGCTGCCAAAATCAGATGTTTTTTTATCCTTTCCTCAGTGTCTCATGTATTCTCTCTGTCACTTATCAGCTTTGCCACGCTGACCTCACAGAATCGGCTTAAGGTATATTAGCAATTTGTAGACTTCAGAAGTGTCAAAAGGCTGTCATGTGGATAAACCTATCCTGTAAGACTAAGCTGTTTTTTAATCTTCATTGGCCTAGTCCAAGGGCACACTGTAGAGATTAGTGTGAATAAACTGACCTAGAAGTAGTTTGTCGTTTTGACATTGGACAGTGGTACCACTGAGAGAATATTTGTTCTTACTATATACCACTGCATCAGTAAGGTTCAGACTACATAGGTTACTACTGTACTTTAACTTCATCAGGAACTTAGAGTACATGTGCTTTCACTCATTTATTCTGGGTTTTCCTTTAATTTTTCACCCATCTCTATATTTTCCCTGATTCTCTGAGATGACTTGAGACAGAGAAGCTGAACACAGATGTTTATACCATGTTACTGACGCAGTGCAGTCCCTGAGCTTGGGCAGCAGCCAAACCATCACCTTCCCAGGCTGACATTTTTGTGGTCACAGTGTCAGCATGAATCCAAACATGCACCTTATTGAACTCCTCAGAAATCCTGAACACCCACAGAGAATCTGAATTGTTTAGTTCAGTTTCTACATGGCAGATCTGACAGCTGTTAATCCAGAGGCTTCATTATGGCCCATGACATCATATTTGATACAGTCTGGGTGTTTCCTTGAAGCTGTTTGTAGAAAAAAGAGAATCAAATATGATACAGGGAGAGAAAACGTGAACAGACAAAATGTAATTTAGCTGGGAGAATGATATGAAACGTTTCCTGCCTTTTACAGAAGATGGAGACTGTCACTTCAAGTTTGATTTGCTGCAGTGGGTTCTGACCAGTGGTCACTCGTGAAAGGTGTAGTGATCAAACTAGCATCTCTGGCTAACTCTGGCACGAACATGGTTCCCCGCACAGGCTTGTAGTGAACAACCAGCAGTGTTTAGATCCGAGCAGCCACAGCTGCAGATACTCAGTGAGTCTGAGTTTTGTCAGTATGGACTAAGAGGTCATCTAAGGGGCAGAATGTCCCTGGGTGGAGGGAGTAGCTTAGGCTTACCAAGACTTCATATTACTGGAAGACAACATCCATGGACAAAAATGCATGTAGTTTCTGGGAAAGGAGAATATTAAATATTTTCTGATATGACATTTTAAGCAAGAGGCCTGAGCACTGAGCTCTTTAAGACACCAGTGGAAATGATGCTCAGCAGGATTCTGATAAGTGAAGCAATAAGGTGGCCACCCATTACAGGCGGGAATGGAGAGATCCTTCAGTCAGCAGAGGTGACAGGAGCCATCAGCTTGACATTGTCTGAGGTGGAAAAGATTCCTCAGATGCTAGGACCACAAGAGAAGTGAAGTGGAGGCTACCTTGAACGTGTCAAGGCATTTTCCTTACTTCACACTGAATTAGCTTTTTAAGCCAGATGAGATAAATTACAGGCAAAGGAGTGGATCTCTGTGCATTTAAAAACATCTGTGCATCGTGTTTTTGCCTGTTTGACATTGGAAAATTATAGTTTTCAGAAATCTAAAACTAGAGATCATGTGATCATGACCACACATACTTGGTTTAAAAAAAAAAAAAAGACTTAGCCATTGCAAAGATTTAGATTTATCCTGACTGCTCCTGTGAGGGACTACTCTAGATATGTCTTGTTTCTTCAAGGTGGCTGACAGGTGCACTGTGTGTTCTCGCAGGTTGCGGTCATTATTTGTGGCAGGAGAACGATGTGATGTGGAGACACTGGAATGGGCAAAGAAGAGCTTTGGGGTTCCTGTCCTGGACCACTGGTGGCAGACTGGTAGGAAGTCAAATACTTTCTAATGACAGAAACCAGAGAGAACCATGATCTGACACCATATTAAATTAGGAAAGGGTTTGATACAAATCCTAAATGATTTGTAAAAGGGAAAAATGGACTGACTGGGCTGTGCACTGAAAGCTGAACGCACGAACACTGTTCTGTTCTGCTGTCTTATGTGTCTCTTTAGTATAAAGCACCACAGATTTAGGTTCTGCTTGTGGTAGTAGCTGACATTTTTAAAAGATTTTATTTATTAAACACAGTAATACTTTAGTGCCCCTGTGCTGCTCATCTGACTGGTCGCTGCTGCACTAGATGGCTGTCCCACAGCACCATGTTGGCTGCTGTCCTCTCCTACAGCTTTCTGTTCAGCTATCTCTTCTGACCCTTTTGCTTCTGCAGCAGAATGGGCTGAAGGGTGGAGGGTTCCTAATATTCTGACCCTCTCATGTATGTAACTGGAGAGGACAAAAATATAAAGACACCTCAGAATATAACGTAGTCCAGTAAAACATCACCTTTAACTATGACCTCAATAATAAACATATTACAAAAACCTGAAACAAACCTGAAACTCATATATATATATATATGAGGCTAAATATACCTGGGCGGCCCGCCAGAGGAAAACCTGTGTGTGAGAAATGCTGGTGTGCAGTGCAAACTTGATGATTAAGTTTTTATGATGTAGATGTTAAGAAACCATTTTGAGGTCTGCAAGTACTTTATTAACATGAACTGTAAATGATGTTTTAATTTGGCTTGATCTTTAAGGCTCGTTCTTATCTTAAGCTGATCAGTATGAGAAGACCAAATGTACAGTAGTTTTTGTGGTGTTTTATTAGCCCGTTGACATTAACTTGGCCTTGAGAAGAGGCATAACTCCAGAAAGTCACCTGTTTCCCCATGAGTCCTTTTGTAAGGTACTTTTTTTTCCCCTCAACTCCTCCCCTGATTTAGCTCTCGTGTGTTTTGTATTGTACACAAGACAATTGATCGCCTTCTACTGGAAGAAATAGGAAATAAAGATTCCTCAGTTAGAATTTCTAACCTTCTCTGGGAACTGACTAACGCAGAGCGCGATGTGTCATCATTTGCACCAGTAAGTATGAATCTCAGTAGAACTAGACAGGGGTGCACAACCAAGGAAGACAAAACATTGGTTGAGGTCACTTTGGGATATCTCTGGGGGAAAGGCGTCATTCATGTGATGTGAAATGAAATGTATCCTATAGAAGTGATGGTGCCAAAAAACGGGCCTGTGCCATTTCCACCAAAAAAGAACCAGATATGTTTGAGTTACATACATGGCTTTAGAAATTGTTCAACTTGCTGTTGATATATTGGATATAGCTACTTAAAATCCAGAAGGCGAAGCCTCCATAGATCTCTTAACCCCACAGTCAGTTACAGGTCACACTGCAGGGCCATATTTAAATAAGAGGTTTGATTGGCATTGCCTTGTTTTCAGTTCACTACTGCTGAATTGTCTTTGCACCCATATGGGACACTGAGTGACTGGCTGAGATGTGAGGACGTTTTGAGCTTAGAAAAGAGAGAAATAAAACGATTATGGTACCGTGTCCATCAGTTCAAGAACAGAATGTGAAACTACTTCCCCACCAAGTCTTTGCTATCTCGTTCCCAACTTTTCTGGAGGAGTCCAAGTACACAAAACCAGACTTTCTCTACCGTATGTGATTGAATAGATTTTTCACTTAAATGTGATTCCAATAATTTGTGCTTAATCAGCAGTGGTGCAGAAGGACTTATATTTCGCTCAGTCTTCTCTTTAAAAATTCCATTAACATAGTCGGCACCTCAGTGCCACATTGCACTGGTGCACTTTAAATTAATGTCATCCTCATGGAGGCTCCATCACTACCATCAGTTTTAAAGGCTTGTTAGGTCATGCTCCCTAAGTAGGTCCAGTGGTTGTATGTTAGACAAGTGAGGGGGAGTTTACGGTTTTCCACAGTGTGTGTAATCTTCCTTTCTTTATTTTACAATTAACCTATTGTGCATTGTGGCTGTTGTGAGTGTGAATGATAACATGCAATTGGAATCCTGGGTCCCCAGCTTTCCCATTGTTTCTCTGGCCTTGATTTCTAATCATTCTAAAATGAGTAAGACCCAATTAGTCTCTTGGAGGTTTGAGTCCAGGCACTGTGCCATCATGCAAATGACGTGCCCTCTCCTTTCTCTGCTTGATTGCGGTCCTCCCAAAGTGCTAGTGAACTATGATAAATGTGCCAGCATCAGAGATGAACATAATTTGTTTTGTAATATCTAGGGGTGCACCAAAATTTCGGCCACCGAAAATTTTCGGCCGAAAAGGCCATTTTTATTTCGGGCCGGAATAAAAAAAACTCGCAGAAAATGCCCCGCCCCGCCCATCATATCCTGGCGCAGCACAGGTTAGGTTTCACTCACGCTGGAGCTGTTATATCACGCGTCTCCCCATGAACGACAAAGCATGTCAGCGGTGAGAGACTCTTCAGTGAAACGCGTTTCCTGACTGTGCATATGACAAAATAAACACTTTGAACTCTGAACTGGAGCAGGGAGAGGGAGTGCTGGGCAGAGCAGAGTGGACGGATCTGGCGGCTCATGCTAAGTTGCATACTGTAGCTTTAACAGTGGACTAGAAACGGAACGTCAGCCTGTAGACGTGCAGTAATGGCAATGAATTCCCTTTGTGGTATTTTTATGCTAATTTTAAACACCCACAGCAGTGGTTGTCTTAACATAAGGCTTTTGGATGAGCATTTCCTGTTCATTTAAGTTGTGTGGGAGTTTGAGGGTTTAGAATGAGCAGCAGTGCACATAGGCAAACACAAGACTGATATTTTGCAAGTCTTTTGGTGCTGTGTTATTTACTCTGTATAATTCCAAGCATTACTCTCTACCTCTCTCTCCATGTTGGACTGTGTGTGGCTGACGGTGCAGATGGCTGGATAAAAACAAAGGTTGACCAGCCTGGATGTGTTGAACAGAGCTGCTGATTCCTATCTTTCTCTGTGTCGCTTGAGTGTTTGTGAGATAACCTTTCATTCTGCTTGAACATAGCAGCATTTGTACCACAGTCAAATTTGAATCTTACTTCCTTTCTCTTCCTCACACACACGTACCCAAATAAAATCCTGTCACACTTTTGTGGCCTAGTCTAGGTGATTTATTGAGCTGGGAGAAAAACCTCTAGCACTCTCTTTGATTTCTGTCTAGCTGCATAAATCCCATTGGATTCTTCACCCCCTGCTAAACTCAATAACTGGCAGCTCCGCTATTTCATGGTAGAGTGGGTCAGTCCTAGTCTCGCTTGCTCTCTGGTTGTGTATCCGAGTAGCAGGTTGACTTCAAATGTGTGGTTGAATGAGATGATGTTGTTTTATGTATTCATTAAGTCATGGTACTGTCATTTCTTTCTAAAATTACAGAAAAACAAAGCTGCTTTTCATAGTCTTCAAGCAAAACACTGTTTATGACTATACTGTTGCAGCATCCACAGTCAGTGGGTGTTGCGTTGTTTTTTTAACAAGTTTCTAAAAGAGTCTAAAACCAACAGTTAATTTACCATACCAACAAGTATATGTCATAACCCAGTTTAGCTTGTGTGCACAGAAAATGGGTGAGACACTGCTTCATTTCAGTTTAATTTAACACAGGCAGTGTTGGTTACTTGTTACCAAGATTAATTCACTGTTGGTTTTAGGTTTCTTCAAGGGAATTATTGATAATTAAAGCATAAATTAATGCCAACCTTATGATAGCGTCTTGCACATGCAACTTGATAGCCACTGTACCCGAACCAGATTCAGATTCTTCATGTGTCCAACACACCTGGCCAATAAAGCTGATTCTCTAAGAGCACCTCGGTTCCTTCACTAACCTGCAGGCATTTTCCACAGACCTCATGTAATGTTATCCTATAATACTGTGTATGTGAACAGTTCAAATTCATCAGTATTTTTATATTCACAGACAGGCATCAAGTGTCAGTAAAAGATAAAACGTCTACACACATTCCTGGAACAAGCAGTGTGTCCTCCAGTTTTCTCTTGCCTGTACTGGGAGAGTCACAGTGCACAGACATCGATCAAGCAACTTTGAGCAATGTCAGGCCTTTGACAACTCGGCTTCATCTTCCCCTCCAACAGAAGAGAATCAGCATAGTCAATGAAAAGCAGTTTAGCATTCAGGGCTCATTTACTCCAAATTGGGCATCAGAAAAAGGGAGAGACAGGCTCTAGTCAAAACTCCTGAATGGCAAAGTTTGTTCTCATCTTCAGGCTCCTAACACCGAATCAGTCTTTTAGTCACTCTCACATGCTTGGTTTCCACCCATACATATTGATAGGTCTGTCTTTGTGCCTCTTGAAATTGAACAAAATATTTCCATCTGTATGCTTGTAATCCTGGAATGTAATACTCGGCAGCACAAAGCTGTAATCAGTGATGAGAAAATGGGCACTATGAGCAGTGATGGGAAGAGCAGGTGAACAGAGTGCACAGAATTTTGATGTAAAATATTACAAGCTCTGGGGTTCAGGTGACCTAAACTTGTTAATGCAAAATGTACATATTAAAGGTGCAGTGTGTGAGATTTAGTGACCTTTAGCTGTGACGTTGCAGATTACAACATTTAGCAAAGCTCTCATACATCGTGTTAAACAGCCCTCACAGCTGTTTCACAGCAATTACCATAAATATAGGACGCTCCTGCAAAAAAAAGCATGGCTGACTTGACCAAGCAAACGCTAACGGCGGCTCACTTGGCCCAGTGTTAGCCTGCACTGGCCATATTCTGGCTACAGCTATCAAACCAAAACTTGCATTTAGGTTGACTTTACTTGTTACTTTACTAAATTACCCGTCCAACTGGTAACTTTGCTGTCATCAAGGATTTCCATTGTCCTTGTCTCGTGCCGTCTTCTGTCCCGTTTCTTTGCTGCTTTGATGACTTGGATTCATACTTTTTCTTGTTACATTATAACTCG